ACCCAAAAATTACAAAATGCAATGCAATAAACCAACTCGCCCCCTGGTACAAAGGATGGAAAATAAAAATAAATGCCACCAAATCAACAGTAGTCATCTTCAAAAGAACACAATCCAGGCATATTTACCAAGATCTGAAATTTGAAAACAACATTATCCCCCGGAAAGCGGCTACAAATACTTAGGAGTCCTCCTGGACGAAAAACTAACCTTCAAAAATCACATAATAGAAACAAGAACCAAAGCATCCAAAGCTCTACAATCAATATATCCACTAATTGGAAGGAATTCACCTTTAAATATAAATACCAAAAGAATCTTCTACCTGCAAAGCATCCGTCCTATATTATTATACGCTGCACCAGCATGGGCAAGCGCAGCAAAGAGCAATAGAGAGATCCTGCAAAAACTTCATCCTCATTCACTCGCATAATTTCTTTCAAAAATTGGACAATAGCAACTATGACATCCTCAGAAAAATAGGAAAATACGATTACACAGTATCTCAGCCCTTTAAACGGCCAAGAACAATCCATCATAACAGCAATTGGTAATAATTCAACAAGCGACCGGTAGCTTAGCGGGATAAACCCCTACCACTGTGCATCCTAAGATCAACGGTTCGACCCTCAGCGGAACCTTAAAACGCGAAGGACTTGTATGTATTTTAAGAAAAAATTTTTTGCATATAATCAGGAAAAATAAATATCAGGAAAATAAATGTACATAAAATTAAGAAATTCTGTATATAGAAATCCAAGCAGAAAAATATTATTATACATATATGATAATAGAAATTATCTTTAATGTTTTAAAAAAATATTGTAGGGCAGAAAGTAATTGTGAAAAAGGACTTGTAGATATTTTGAAAATTTAGCATAATCAAAAAAACTACTTTTAGGAAATGTACATAAAACATAAAATATACTATAGAGAATTACAGAAAGAAACAAGATGAAAAGAAAAATAAAAAATATATCAAATATGCAAATAAAAAATTATTTTAATGTTCTAAAAAATATTGTAGGGCAGAAATTAGATGAAAATTCACACACAAAAATAGTATCCACAGCTGCTTAGTACAGACATAGAGAATTTCCTTCAGCCCTGATTATTCAGGTATTTTACTTCAGATGATTTTGTCCATACGGAAACAAAAATAGATTGGTAAAGGCCCTCACAGGTCGTACACCTCTTATAAACGCGATGGTCTATGGTCTATGGTCTACGATATCTCACCAATTTAGCGAGAAAGCCATTTACTCAATGTTAAATAGACTTGCCTCTGTACTCTTACATTTCTGGCAAAGCATCGCCCCTTTAGATTTTCATGTTACATTCCACGAAATTTACCACAATTTCGCATATAATTTCACTAAAATTATTTACATATACGCAAATATTCTTAATAATATGTTATGTAATATAAGCATTTTCATTGACAATGCAATGTCTCATTTTAGAAACAATTTTAACCTTAGATATCAACAAATGATACTAGCCAAATTTTAACTGAAACGGATGCTCAGTGAGTCTCAAGAAGAGTCTAGTGGTGCTAAGAGACAAAAGATAAAAGATGATGACCAGGAAAAGCTAGTTACTTGATGCTTCTGTGGAACGGAACTCCTCATCTAAGCAATAACATGCCTTTTCTTTTCTCTACCTCATTATTTTTCATTTATACCATTCGCTCCTTTCCACACAGTAGTAAAAGTAAGTTTTCATCTTATTTTACCTACTCAGTATTGACTTATTGTGATTTTTTTTCTTGGAGTTTAGGTTTTCCACTTGTTGAGTCACGAATTTTGGCACAAAGCACTGTTGTACAGCTTCAATAAGCAATCATTTGCAGTCGACAAACGGATTAATGTATTTTACATTAATTTCCTATGGAGATAATAGCTTCGTTTTGCGAATATTTCGATTAAAAAACGATCTTCAGGTACACATTATACTCCTAAATCGAAGTTTCACTGTATTATCTTCTAAAGACTGGTAAAAGAATATTTTTTTAAACAGAAAAGACAGAATTATAAAATTATATAATACTGTGTTATAGCAAACACTTGTTTACTCAAAAATTTCGCCGAAATGTTACGTGCGTGAAACTTGAAATAGTAAAATTGGTTGTTGGAGGAATAGTACATTTTTACTTCCTTGTACGGAGTAAAGGAAGCAGCGTAATCACGAAATATTCCGGGTATCATATTTCAACGAAAATTTCCATTTTGAACGCTATCGAATGCAATTTAACAATGTTTTTGCGTGACATCTGTAAGTAAGGACAGAATAAAGGACTATTTTCCCAAAACGAATCATAAAACTGATTTAAAATGGATTCAGAAGAGAATTTTTCGTGGTGTCTGTACGTACGTATTTATGTATGTATTTCGCATAACTCAAAAACGAGTAACCTTGTTTCTGCGTAGAAACTACCTTTTAATTGTAAAAATGATTTTTTAAAATTGTTTTAACTGTGTTTGGTGTTTTATGTGTTCTATATCTTTCAATTTTTAAAGAAGGTATTTTAAGTTTTTTTTGTATTTTTGGCTTGCGGCGAAGTGAGAACTAAATTAATTGAATGGGAAATCTATCTCCAATAAAATTCGAAGAAATAAATTTAAGTGAAATGCAGGAAAAAATGCATATAATTTAATATTCTGTACAAAGAAGTCATGTGGTGTACACACCAGATTTTTTTTTACAGGAGAAATGCATAATATGATATCTTTTAGGAAAGCGTAGCTCGCATATTGTAGGGTAATCGAAATTAAAGCATTTTTACGGCGTTTCGGTACAATGTTCCATTTTGACCAAACGACATTTGAGCAAAGCAGTCGAGGTCGTTTTGATCAGAAAGAGGTCTCTGTTCTGCAGCAGTCGCATTTTTTTGCCAGATTTCATATCTTTTGACCCACTATTTTCTCTTATCAAAACGGTTCTACGGTATGAATGTTTCTTGTTAAGCTATCAGAAACTATATCTTTCTTATACACTAAAAGAGGCATTCTCCCAGTGCTTCCAGGAGTGTCTGAAACACTGAAGTAAGTTTCTAGAAGCAGATTAATACATTACATCTATTTCGATAGAAGGCATGAAGGTACTTCGAAGGTATGAAAAGCTTTGAAAATTTTAATGGAAGTCTATATGAAAATCGTTTACGATTTTATAGTTTTACACACAGATCTGCGCCATAAGCTTTTCCGAGCTGTCTGGAAATGTTTTGAAATGAAAATATACCACGTAAGATAATAACACTTGTACAAAAAATACGTTAAAATGAAATACAAACAACAAACTATTATGAACTATTATGAATGAAATGTAATACATAAACTACGGGCAAACAGTTTGGCAAAACACAAACAAGAACAAAAATTGGCACTGAGAAATTAATATCACAATGAAATGAGCAAGGGGGGAAAACTGAATAAAACAAAGAAAGATATATATTTTGGGATACCCAAAAATGACCGAAATGATAATACTGCAAAGGAGCAATTCGTAATTAAGAATCTACCGTTAGGCCTTGTTAACTTGGGATTTCGCGTGCGTATTTGCCAAATAGCAATCTGAGAATAGAGGTTCGTTCTCGCTGCTGATCTGTGTGTATTCGTGCTCGCAAAGTCGTGCCACTTCTGCAACGTTTCGCTGTAAAGTTCAAAGCCTCTGCACGTAACTTTGCTATTTGTTGAGGAATACTACAGCTGAGACCCTTGTTATGTTTCGGGAAACCCTTAAAGATCACGCTCTGACTAAATCACACATTTATAAGTTGTTTTCCCAGATTCAGAAATGCTGACATGTTAAATGTAGTGAACATCTACTGACGAGCAGAAATGAGGGAAACATTAAAAATGCACGAAAATGTAGTGAAGAAGATATTGTCAAAAGATCAGTCACACCGATAAAACTTTCTCTCTATTCGATGAGCCGATGAGCAAGTCTGAGAACGTTAACTCGCAAACAAGTTAAATTCTCCTGTTCTTAGAAACAACAACGTGGTTCTTAGAAAGAACAACGTAGCTTATCTCATTTACGATACTCACCTTTTTTTCTCAGTGCGATATTTTGTTTCCACGGGTAAGAAAAAGATCTCGAAAATTGTTCACTGTGTATGGAACTTATCTAATTTAATGTTAAATTCTGTTTACATGTATACAGGTAGGCGAAAAAAAGACAGGTAAGAGGATTGTGCCCATAAAAGTAGAAGTGGTAGTAAAGGTAAAAACTATAAGATAACTGATTAATAAACATAAAACCCTACAAGTGATTAGAAAAGGCAATTCAGTGATGTGGATCAGGTGCAAAAAAATACGCTGCTTGCTTTAACCCTTTGTCTACGAATTTAAAGAAATTTGCCCCATTTTTTATCCAAGTGAACAAAATATGTCATAAATAAGGTAAATTTAACATTTGGGATTTTTTTTTGACAAACGGGTTTAGAGCCAAAGCCTGGGACAAATATGTCCCAGTCGTAAATACATATGTCTCTATTACACTGGACAATCTATAAATACACGTACCACACCACACACCTATTACTCTGGAAAACTTTATTATATGAAATAGATTTTACATCGAATGGTACAGAGTAAAGCATTCTTTGCAGAACCCAACATTACACATTGCGAAATTCATATTTATTCTTTTCTCTATGTTCATTTGTGTACAACGAGCACAACGGCGTCTTGATTTTCGAACTATTGGAAGATGATACTCAATATTCAGGAGATTAAAAGTACTTTTTAACCCAGCAGTCATTTTTAAATTTTTAGTGGGACATATATGTCCCGTTGGTAGTCAAAGGGTTAAGTAATATTTCATTGCGAGTTCCATCAATGGGCAAATTATAGTGAAATGTGTATTGATGCTGGTGGAGAACACTTTGAAAAGAAATAAAACCTGCAAGTGTAAAACATGATATAATTGCTTAAAAAGAAAACATAATATTTTTTCAAGCACGAAAATGAGCAAGGAATGGATGGAAAATAACTCACCGTCCTTTTCTATTGGCCGAAATGCAGTGTAATGGAGCTTGAAGTCTGTGTCTTTGAAAGCATCCTTATGCGTGAAGAATCGCACGTATGACATATTAGTAGACGTTTTTTGAGGTTCAGCTGTTGTACCACAAAACTTGATACACTCTTTATCCGGAGTTCTGCCACCATCGAAGATCTGGATGAAGTTCTGATCGCAGTCATTGGGTTTGTATAGTTTGTAACTGAGGAAGTTCATGTACAGCTACAGGAATGAAAATACACATGAGCTTAGATACGATAGTTTTAAGTTACTGCGTGTAAAGAAGATTGTGGGGGATATTTATCTAAAAATATCAATTAAAGAAATGAAGATAAAAATTCTTAAATGAACAACAGCGAAAAGTAAATTTCGCTTTTCGTAAGTTTATACCTGAAATTTAAACAAATTTAAGAAAGGGCAAAGATATTTTTTTAGGGGGAAGAGAGTGGGGAAATGTTTAGGGAAAAGAAGGGGTGACTATGGAGAGGATTATAAAATATATGAAGAGTTAAAGAATTATTGCAGTATGTAAGCACGAATTAAGAGAAAGCACATCTGATATAAAATAGTACAACAAAAAGAAGCAGCCAATGAAAACGCAGAAAATAATAAAGTATGGTAACAAAACAAAGGAAAAAGTTTTTCTTCATTAACAGTCGGGTTCTAGTATTCGTTTTTTCAATAATATAAACCCAAAACATTTGACTTAAAAATATATCTATGTTAGTTCTTACATCTTTTGGGTCTGTTACATTATGCTATTGTAGCATTTATCATCCACATGGTTTCACAAATTGCCGATTCTCAAGAGGCTTTCGTCGAAACTATTGTCAAGTCTTTCCCACTAAAACATGACATTTCTCTGTTGTTGTTACCAATCTCACTTGTCTGACAATGGCCAGCACAAGCCAGTGACGTTCATCATGAAAAGGAGTCAAATGCGCCCGTCAGTGGCAAGAGCCAAGCTTCCAGTCTTACCACCAAGCTTCAGAAAGAACTTTTAGATCGCCGATATTTAGAGTGCCACAATACTTCACGTATACACTACATTTACAAACATCCATGCGTACTCCGGAATTTGAAACCGGGCTTTTCGGTACAGTAGTCAGAATCACTAACTACTATCCCAATTGGGCTGCTACATAGCATTTCTTAACACATGGAACTATTTAAAAGGAACACATAGAACTTCTAACACATGGAACTTCTAAATAATTTATATATTTCTTTTATATTTTTCAACAATATCTCTAATTGATGTTATTTATAATACAGTTTACTCATCAGATACCTGAATTATCATTTTGCATAACCATTTGCATTATTATTACCCGTAATAAAATATGCTTCTGGAATAATGTATTATGTATCACACAGTAATGCATAATTGTTTTGCGTTCCCGAATAACACGTTTTAAGCTATCTTTAACATTATAAAAGAAAACTCCGTGTAGTGTGATGAGCAGAGCGAATTTAAAACGTTATACATATCTTTTAACAAGTGGTAACTTTATTTAACTAATTAAAGAAACAAAGTCACAAAACGCTCACCAAGGAAGAACGAAGTATAAAATGGTCAAAAAATAGTATGAGTTTTCTGCTGCAGTTGAAACCCTAAGCACAAATACTCAAGTCGGTATTTGAACTGATCAGTGTTCACAGTAAGCCAGACATGTCCAGCCACTTGAGGTTTTGAACTTCATAACCCAACACTTAAGGCCACATAGTATACAAGGTGTTTCAGCACAGCAATTACAATCTTTCAGCAGAGATTGAGTACACCTAGACGATAAGAAATCGCGTAGCAATGCATGGTTGGAAACGCTTTCCTGGGCTTGTAGTGACAACACAAAACAGAGTGAAAAAATATGTTTTCTATGCTTATTGCAGCAGAAAAGAAGAAATAAAAGCAAAAACAGACAATGATCATCAGCAATAAAATGCTCGAAATTCCGACACCGGAACGTTATGCAGGCCTCATATCTCTGGCGCATGGAAGCTCTGATGTCATGGAAAATATCAGGCGTATCCCGGACTTATCCAGTAGCTGCCACGATGTATGCATAAAAGTTATTCAGCACTGCTAACAGAGGTTTCGCACACCAGTGCCTTGACGTACCCTTCACAGGAAGTAGTCAGTTCAAATGAGGTCTGGCGATCTTGCTGATCAAAGCACCGGACCTCACCGGATCCAAAGTTGAAGATATGTTTGCATTCAGGTGGAGACGCTCAGTCCTTGAATGAGCCAAAGCCGCTCCGACATTTTAGCCGTACTAAGCCTAATACCCTATTCGTATCTTTCCTTTCTTGTGTTTTGTGTCGTTACAAGGGCGTCAGGAAAGCGTTTCCGACCACATATTGCTATGTGATTTTTCCATCGTCTAGGTGTACTCTATCTCTCCTGAAAGTTTGCAACCGCTGTGCTGAAACACAATGTATAATTTAACATTTATTAACGGCCACAATATGACTTTTACTACTGCCGCATCTTATAATATTACATTTACGTTTTATTCTAAAAGATATTTATTGGAAAAAATACAACCGTAATATTTATAATATGAACCTTCAGTCTTTATTACATCTATATATAATTTGATAGACGTAGTGGTAACTACGATACAAAATGTTCATCGGAACATTTTCTTTTATTTTATTTTTCGGATGCTTCTTATGGAAGAAAGGTTGCTCACAAAAAGTACATACTTAAAAAAAAAAAAAAAAAAAAGGCTTTTTAAGTAAGGAATTTTGGCGAAGTGTTGGAAATTGTTTAAAGATACATACAGTTTTAATTAAAAACGTTGGACTTAGTATATTTTCTTAATGTTGCCTAATTGATTGTAGATTTATAGATTCCATATAGAAGCTCGCGGATAAGTTTCATATCAAATGAAAAAAGAATAATTAATATACAGGAATTTATTTGATGTTTCCAATATTTTATAATCAGTTCTCGATATCTTTTGGTAAAAGGGCAATTAGCTGCGTATTTTACGATTTTTACAAGTCATTGCAGAATTCGAGACTAAAGTAGATTGTTGTTCTTATTATGAGATCATCAGTATCACAATTTAATTTCGAAAATTCACATTTCTTGAAATATACTTAATAGCTGCTTTTGGCTTTAAAGACATACATCCAGTTTGTTTAAGGTAAATAGTCATATATATATATATAACTATAATGCACTCTAGGCTTTAGCTAATGACACGTGCAGCCTTTGCGTTTCGGCCTCAAAAATATATGTAGCACTTTACAATACATATTTATTCTGATGCTCTCTCGGCCCTACAAGGCTTGGTGAATCCGCAACCAAGCAATAGACTTCCTTTGGATATAAAAAACATTCATAACAAAATAAGAGAGAAAAATTGATATATATTTTCATTGAGTCAAGGCACATATTGGTGTTACCGGGAATGAGAGGGCGGATATGCTAGCTAAAGAAGCAGCCCTGGGAGAGGGTGATATTTATGACGCTATTAATGATTCCAGAAGAATTACCTTGAGAAAAATGAAAGCAAGTATAATTGAGAAATGGACTCGGAAATGGAACGGTTCAAATAAAAATAAGGGTTACTTGAAAATTTCGACCATAAAAAGAAAAATGGATCTATTTAATAATATAAGTACCATTCAAGTTATCACGGATCATGGTAGATTTCCGGCTTATTTAAAACGTTTTAATCTCCAGGGCAATGATCAATGCTTGGCTTGTGGGAAGTACGGAAATGCAGCTCATTTTATAGAAGAATGTAAACTGACCGAGAGTGTGAGGACGAGATTTGGAAAAATAAATGAACAGAATGTAATTGAAAAAAGAAAATTCTTGAATAGCTATGCAACAAAAATTATGAGGATTGTGAATGAAAATAAGACTATCATAGGAATTAGAATATTGTGGAAATTTTTGCTGTAGGGCACAAAAACAGTGAGTTAAGGCCATCATTGGGCATCGAGATATCAACTGCAAAGGCGCTTGAGTAAAGTTTCAATCACATTGAATATATTGAAACGGAATTTTGTTTGTTGATGCTTTTGATTTGGAATAAAAAGTCCGAACTCTTCAGAAGTTTTAGAGTGATTGCCAGCTATTACAAACTACATGACAAGACTGAAAACCTCGAACAATATTCAAACATCTTTACATAACAGTTTAATGAAAAAAGTATTTCGATCAAAGGTTTAGACATTAAATAAAAATTTAAAGAATATCTTAAGACGAGAGTCCTTCAACCTATTAGAAAATGGAAGCCACATTAAACATACCAGTTATGTTCGCGAACCACTAATTTATACAGCGTTGTATATAATTGTAAAATGACACCATCCAAGTGGTTCAAAGGCCCTACTCGAATCTAATGGTCATTTAGTCATCATGAAAAGTGTTGTCCAGGATGCCCAAAGGAAGCGACTGATTTTATCAGTCAGAAGAAGAAAGGAAGAGCTGCATATACACAGCCGAGGCTTACGCGAGAGTCGAATTCACTCTTGATTTTCGGGCTATTAGCCAGCCTCCTTTAAACTTTATACCTTCCAGGGCGAGCGGTACCAAAACAGTAGTACGTTTAATGTCTTAAGATTACTATTTACTGTAGATTACTATCATTACTATTTATGTTATGTTTTAAGAGGTACCCATAGAGTATCATTAGAATGTGCCATATTTAGTGAATAATAAGTGTGAAGTATGGCACTATGAGTAAAAATCCTAAATCAAAGTTTTTTAAAGTTTTTACTGTGTTTTAAAGAAAAGGGAGTCGTTTTGACTTTCTTTGTGCGGATGAATGATAACCCAATGGCTTTAATTTGCTGTAAGTAAGTTTCAAAAGAGCACAATATAAAACGGCCCCATGACACAAAGATGATTTGATGTCCTTCAAGGCTAGCTTCGTAAGCAACAAAGTGTACGTCTTCAGAGGGAAATTAAAAGATCTCGTCTAAAGCTAGTTAGTAAAAGATGTCTCATCGCCAATGAGGAAATTCTGTGCCGAAATAGTAAAGTATTTAAAAAACCGAGGTTATCTGGAACACCTATTGAATGATGTGCTGAAGAATATGTCATTGATAGTAGCAAACTTTAAAAAAATATGGTCGCATCATGAATTCATGTAATATTCTTTAAACGAGACCGAAAATTTAAAAAAAAAAAAAAAAAATCACGAATAGCTCTGTTTATTCGTAGCACAAACAATCCTATATTACAGGATTATTTGTGACAAACAATACTGTTACAGAAGAACTATTAGCGGGCGTACCTACGAAGATAAAAACAAAAAGCATAGCTATTCTTCGAAGCTGTCAAGAAAATGCTTCGGCGTTTCGATCTCGCCTTATCAACCTTCAGCGTTTAGTAGCTGATGGTTTGCTGCCAAAACGGGAATGAAGAAACCTTTTGTAATGCTACTGTAAATAGAGTCGGAAATAAAAGGAAAGTGTTTTGTCGTTGTTACTGATTATTTTACCAAGATAGTTTGCGCATAAAAGCTATTGGATTTGAGAACATCATGAAAGTTATTGTGATCGTCATCAACTTTATTACTATAACAGAATTGAACCATCATCAGTTCCAAGAATTTTTGATCGAAGACTACAAGATGGATCACGGCGATGTGATTTATTATAATAACGTACGTTCGCTTAACAAAGAGAAGGTTATTAAAAGAATATTTGACTTAAGAGGCGAAATATAGTAGTTCATTCACAGCAAACTGAAGCCGGCTGTAGAATCAATAATGTGATATGGTGAAAGAAATTGCCTCTGTTATCGACATTTCATTGCACATAAATGGCTTAATAAGTAAATACGAGGCTATAACTAACAGATTCAATGGTGCACAGTGGATTCTGTTTGATCATGGCTTTCGTGGTCATATTCAAATATTGGAAGGCACATCTGAGAGTTAAAAATACTACAAAACTAGCTACATTGCACAGTGAGTTCGAAGACAGATTTTAGTAATTTTTTTGGAGCCAATAAACTTTAAATTTATTTTCTAAACCTTTGAGTGTCGACGCTACCGACAATAAGGATACCGACATACCGGAGCTCCTTGAATTTCAAAACAATTGGTCTTTAACATAAAAGGTTTTTAGTGTTCCCTTTGTATATGTTTTACAAACACTATATTTCGGAGAATGCATTTCCTAATCTTCGCGATACGCTTTGAAAATGTGTGCTTTGCTAGGAAGCACATATTTATTTGAAAATTTTTTCTCATGATTGTGAAGTCTAAGGTAGAATGTGAGATTACGGACCAACTTCTCGAGACCAACATTGCTGCCGAATTGAGAAGTTGGCCAAGGGAAAGTACTGTCATCTTTCTCGTTACCATCGAAAAATTGAAAGTTTCTTTCATTATTTAAAAAAAAATTATTACTTTTACATATAAAATTTTTTTGCATTTAAATTATTTCTTTTATTTAATCGGGTTTTAATGTTAAGCAGCAGCTTTTCAAAAGGGCGTGGATCACAACAAATAGCTTTCTAATCACCTTTGGTAAAACAATTTTCGATATTCCCCTATACTTACAATAGAATTAATAAATTATGTACGTCTTATTTGCTTACCTAGGCGCAATAATATTAAAAGACGTTAATGTACTAAAGCATATTGTAAGTAAATTAGTCCAAAATATTTTATAGTCTGGCTGTATTTTTTATTGCAAGCAAAACTGAAATTCTTTGATCTTCTTAAGCAACTTATTGAAATAAAAGTTATAAACACCGAAACTCAAACAATTCCAAAAAAACCTCTGAAATGATGAATAAATCTCTGCTATTTTACAAGAAAAATAATAGCTGAAGCAAACGATTCTCAGATTTTTTCTCTCTTCTGTTTACAAACTCGCGCTTCTTTGATTTGAGGAAAGGAGGGCATTCACACTCCTAAAAATAAAAGTGAAGAACCGCCGAGTGTTTACTTTTTTATTGTGTTGCAGTCTTTGATAAAGCGACAGACAGATGGCGTTGCATGTTAAACCGTTTGAAGTACTAGTTGCTAAGTAGGGAAAGCTGTCAGTAGTTTCAGGAAATCCACACAGAATCGCCGAAGAAAAATGCAGGTTAAAACTACTGAGGGAAATCTTTTGCTTGCACTTAGTATCGTTGATGTGATTTCTAGAACGGAATTTTTTAAATTCTTATTTCTTTGTAAAGATAAATTTTCCTTTGGGCATTCATTGGACTTTTCCCCCCATCATCTCAGATATCCCTTTGCGAATTCATTTGACGAACTTTCTACGGAGTGAGCACTCGGTCGCGGCAATTCTTTATAATAGACTAGACTAGTGTCAAGGGGAAATATTTAATGACTTAATTATTTTAATGCAACAGAGAAAAAACGAAAACAATGTATGGTATACAGAAAGAATATCTTTAAAGGGATACAGAAAGAGACACGACATAATCATGGTAATGTTTAGCTTAATATAGGCACTAATTAGCAACAAATTTCAATCTGCTTTACCTAAAACGTCAAACAGGAACGAAAAAAAAAACATTAAATGAAATTCTTATATCAAAAATTAATTATTGAAATATTTAGTTAATTTCATTGTTATGATTTGCATATGCCGTGTGGCAACACTTAGTACTTCCGTAATTTTCATCTGCAGTTTGTCAACAGAATGTAATTACTGGTATTTTAACTTGGATTACACCCTTTAGGATTAAATGAGTCGTTTTCTTTGAAAGTGGTATAAGTCCATTTTAATGGTAATAATGAATTCAATCTGCTATAAGCTTTTTATCTATAAACAATCCCCTCCCTCCGAAAAAAAACCCTTAAAAATGTTCATCATTTTATCAATATAAGTTTACGAAGTTAACGAAATTACAAATGTAATTACTTTGGTGAAGACATATATAGTTCAAAAATTATACTACATAATTTCTCTAATTCGTTTTCATATGTGTGGCAACACTGTTTATGATATATAAATTTTCGTTCGTTTACTGGAATTTTGGTACTTCGCCCGTTAAAACATAAAACTTAGTAACATATTCTGTTTGTTCATATAAATTCAAGTAAAAAAGTAAGATTGCCTCTAAAATACTAATTGTGAAGAGGCAAATTAGCTGAAGATATGTTGGATAAGGGTTTTAAAATACAAACCTTATACAACACTGTATAAAACTACATTTGATGAAAATGAGGAGTTTAAAACACTAGATTTATCCTCCAGACGAGGAAAACTTAAAAAATATAAAAATATTCTTTCCGCGAGCTCTCATCGTATTGGAGGTGTCAGCTGCAATTCCGAAGGCAGTAGAGCTGTATTCAGAACGGAAGAAGACCGGTTTTCAGTTCCAGGAATAGGAGGAAGCATTATACAGTGGCGAGCTTCGAACAATCAATATGGTGCGAAGTCTAATATGGAGTAATGAATAAACAATCTTTGTAAATGTAACCGAGCCAGCTTAAATTTGTTTTTGGTTTGGACACTTTACCATGACACAGCAAAAACCAGGAACCTAACTTGGATAAGTATAACCACTATTAAAGTTATTTAATATCTTCACACTGAAAACACCACACCACGATAAATGGCTTAAAGATGAGCTGTTCAGCTCGTTTCTTTCCATATCGAAAGTCAGAAATGGCAGATTTAGGATGTGAAGGTACTTCTACATGTCTATCATTTTAAGATCCAAGGTATGTTTACTGTATTTATAAATTAATCAAATTTAGGATCTGCTTGGAATGTAAGGTCCGTCAGATTGCTCCCTCATAAATCCCCTTCTGGCATAGCATGTTACCGGTTAAATGAAGTTTAAGTCTAGCCTGGAAGTTATTCGTAATAATATATTTATTGTTACAAGATTTAGTTACTGGTCATTATTTCGATCAATTACAGAAACTTAAGCAAGATTTCCCTTGCCATCCTCTAATACTTTAATTGTGATTTGCATAAAATTTAATCTCTTTACCTCACAAGTTCTACAACTTTAGCAAAGCATATAGAAATTCACATTATATAGATAGAAACCCAAAAGGATCACAAACCTGTTTTCCAGATTCTGTTACGATGGTCCACATACATTCAATAGCGTCTTCATGCCTATATTTATCAAGAAGAGGTATGACTTCAGACTTCGAAATGATTCCAGAAGGGCCTGTTCTGTGAAACGAACATTCTAGTAAAAGAGAAAATAAAGATAAGATAGTAGCTATTGTTGTATGGTTTGCTCCACCAGATGCCAGTTTTAATAATTCAAAAGTACGGAATACAATCTACAAAGCCAATTTCTTTTATTGCTGTTTTTTATTCTTGAGGAATTATAATGTTATTAAGATTGTGCTTCAGATTAAAATGGGAGCTAATTAGCTGTGTTAGTGTTAACTAGTTGGTTACTTTTTCTTAGTGACAATGACTTGAAAATAAGCGATCGGCAGCATCTGCTTTTGAGAAAGCCGACTGCGAGACTTTAATGAGCATATAGGTCAAGTTAGCCTTGTCGAAGGAATCTGTACCCCCTTGTTGGATTCTCTGGTAGGTGGGGTTGCCGGGTCCAAACTACATTTTCCCACAAAAATGGATTCCAAAACATCCCACAAACTGTTGAAAATTCCATCTCGTCTTTTAAGAAATTTAGAACAAACCTTAATGTAAATCAACCTAATCAGTTCCACGTTTTATTGCTATCAGTTACTCTTCTGGGGAGTTTCACAAAATGTAACCATTTTTGATGCATAAGAAGTTAAATTTTGATACATAACTTAAACAAGCTGCTCGAAAAAATATGTCCTTTCTTGCCGTGCATAAGATCAGACAGTCTAACACACCGCTTCTACGGATAAGTTATTGAACTTCATTCGAGATATTATCTTAGAAAACTACCTGCGCATCAGAGAAGAAATTAGTCGAGAAACTCTCTGAACAGAAAATCTTTAGTTCAAATCAAGCTGCGAAGGGTAGATAGTATTGTAAATACAAAACATATTATACCTTAACCTGCAGCTTTCTTTATTTGCTTTAGAGTATCAAGATTGGTATTTGAATTGTCCGATGCATCTTTACAACCCCAATCTAATTAAATGCTTTCAAACTCTGGCCATATCAGAGGTTATACCTTGTGATGTCACATGTGTTCGATGTAGTTGGGCATACAGCAAAAATTATTCAGCTATGGTGCTAAGCATTAACTGTAATGGGGAGCACACAGAATTCGCGTGCATCTGCTCAAAATGGAAATCCGAGAAGGAGATTTAGACTTTGAAAGTCACTAAAAGCATTTCGTAAACCGAAGCGAGGAAGTTGTTTGCAAGCATTCGACCATGCCTAAACATGATGCTACGCATTTCTTTAAACTTTCCACTTAAACATCCAGGAAAAACAGCCATAAACTAGTATAAATGATTTGATCATCATTCATATAATACCAACGACATAATTTCACCATTAAAAAATACACAAAGAATAAAAAAAAAATAAATAAATAAAACAAAAATTAGTGAAAAACAACAGCAGCTCGAAATCCTAAAGTCAGGACCATAACTCGTTTGAGAGGATGTGCTTGGAATCTTGATTCGAATATAGAAGTAAAAGCAGAGTTACATATTCCAAAACCTTTCCCCTCCGAAAAACAAGAAAGTAGCATCAATATGGTCCCTCTTTTACCTTGGAAATGTCTCTGTTTCTACTAGAGTTATGTGAAAATTAAAGACCTCACTGATACGCCAGCATCTAATTTGTTTTCAGTACAAGAAACACATCTAAAAACAAGTCAACCAGTGACGCTTCGGAGACACTCTGGGGTCAGAAAAAACTATAATAATGGCAATCATGGTTGTGAAAGTACGTCTTCTCACCGCTACTCGTGAAGTCTTCTCCAGGTAGCCATAAGCCTCCAATCCACTACGACAGAAATTATAATTCACAGACTAGATACGCTCTCTGTATCTGCATCAAATGAGAATATCAGTCTAATCAGTGTCTGCATTATTTATTCCAACTGGTCATTTAAATGCTCATAGCGAACGATAAATTGAACCGCTGACTGATAATCACCGCCTTTGTCTCTCCTGTATGATGAATAAAATATTTTCTTTCTACTACTGACGAGGACAATCCCCGTGATAGATCTTGCCATCGTTTCACCATTCTTTATGAAATAAACCAGTATTAGATCTACAAGCTACTATCAACAGAGCGTCAAAAGGAATATTTCTTATAATCTTCGCTTTCGAGATATCTGCTTATGGAATGATACGCGTATTCAGCCTCTGAAAATGTTCAGTAATTTGGGCGAGTACCACAACTGTGTCCCAAACTATACAGACAGATTTAATTCTCGAGATCATATAGAATTTGGTTTTGTATGCGAGAGTTTAATAGAAGATTTGAGGCTCCATCACGCATTATCTTTATTGCAGAGAATCGCAGCTATTAGCTTTTATTCTGAGGCAACACAGGGAAAACTCTATAGCGTGTACAGATTCACTGGGGGTTCTTAAGTCTTTCGAATAAGTTTTAGAAAATCCAAGTCCTTTAATTATTGCGTTGCTAGAATTTAATTGGAGATTCAAACACAGATGATATTAAATTCTTTATTGTTGGATACCATCATGTCATGTTAATGCAAATGAGAAAGCTGACGAACCTTTCGGAAAAATCTGAATTGTGTTCAATTTTTGTTACTATTACCGCTATTTGCTGAATTGGATTTTATCCACCACTGTATGCTGTATTATAAATTTTCATTTGCATTATTATAAATTTATAATTTATGTAATTGTCAATTGGCCTAGGTTGTGGCAACATATAGTAAACGCTGGCAAGGCAGCCATAATTTGCTTGAAGATCTTTGTTGTTTTTTGAGTTCTGTACAAAAACGTAATTTATATTTTTTGCTCAGCTTTCGAATCCATGACAGCCAATTTTCACTGGATGAAAGCAAACAATTAACGGCATAGAAAATTCTATCCCTAAGAACACGATATTTTAAGAGAAGAAAAATAAGATATCAATACTAAAATGGTGTCACTTATAATTTTACAAATTTGTAGAAAGTTTTTTAAAACATTAGTGCCAGAAATTTTATATGTCATATACTTAAATTCCTGCATTCATTTATTTATTAATTAATTATATTTTGATTTCCAAATTTGAAATTTCATGATGACAGTTAGAAGCAATATTTTAAATGAAGACATCTAAATAAAATACGAAATAGCAATAAAAATTATTAAAATGAAATATTAGAAAATTATAAGGAAAAAGAGCTCACCTATTTCATTATCGTGACCGTCTCCTAAAACGATGATAAAACAAGTTCATTAGATTATAAAATAAATTAAATTAGAAGTTCGTTGAAATACATTTTTAATAACTCATATAAAGAAAAATATAAATGTTTTCAATTCAATATCCGAATAGCAGTTTAAATTCTATCAAAGAACGGTAGATCGTAAAAGTATTTTTAGGAACATTTCCTGGTCGAAAAGAAGAAGAAAAATCAACAGCTTTTCTTAAGCGTTTACAAAACTAAAATCAGTAATTAAAGCTTACAACGTACACCAAATTAAATATGTGATAAAATCGAGGCTTCAATTGGAAGCAAAGTAATAACATTAGATATCCACAAAACATTGCCATATGTGAGAATAATTTAAAAAATAATGCTAGCAGAAAATTTCAGTGATTTAAAGATGCAAGAAATGAATTTAGAAAAACAAATCTATAAAAATTAAAATTAAATAATATTTTGTAAAATTATATTATGTGTTCGAAAGCATTGGCTACAAAGCTTTATTTCTTTAAGTACGCAGCGTTTTAGGTCAAAGTTTGTATGAAATCGAAAAGAAAACAAGAATGTAGGCTACATTCTTGTTTTTTAGTTTTTAATACAAAATCCTTTTAAGTCAATATAGCGTTTAGCATATTGACTTCTTAATCTTAAGCCATAAAGCTTCTTAATCACCTCTTACAACTTATTCTATGAAATACTGTTTAAGACTGTGGTTAGAAAATTTTGAATTTCATAAAATTAAATTTCGAATTTCTTAAAATTTTGAAAGCTATAAAAATATACCCTTGGCCATTAAAATTGCTATACCGTATAGGAAGCATGTAACAAAAAATCAAACATGCATGAGTGATACTACATGCTGGGGATATGCAAATGATTAGCATTCCAGCGGCGCATGCACAAAGAGTAACGCTATCTACATTGCGTATAATACGCACTTTCTCATTTGGAAATCGCATCTGAACGTTACAGAATTTGGAAATCGCATATGTTTACATAAAGGTCATAATAGGTCTAGTGCAAGAAGGAGAAACTCTCACCAGCACGTATCGGAATTCCTACGTGGTAGAATCGTGGCCTATCGAGACTGCATTTTATCATTTCGTGACGCTGCTGGTCGAGATTTCAGGACTGCTTAGCAAATACGGAATCGATGGGTCCAGGAGGGCCATGCTGAAAGGCAAGCAGGACTTCAGCAGTACCGGGACGTTAACCCCTGTGAGAATGGACACATTTGCCTCCAGATCTTGCGAAATCGTACAACCACATCCCGTAGCCTGAGTGAGTAATTTGCTTCGTGTGCAGTACAACAAGTGTCCGCTCAGACAATGCGTCGACATCTGAAGAAGCATGGACTGTCACCACGATGACCCTTGCCATGGTTTTCCTAGAAGCTGCAGCAGAGACAGACGCGCCTCAGTGGTGCAATGAACTACTGGTCACAAGAGTGGCACCACATCGTCTTTGGATACGAATCCCGGCTCTGCGCACAGCATCATGATGGACGTATTGGTATAGATATTTAAGAGAAAGAACGTCGCGAGTTGCATTCATCGTCATACAAACTCAGCACTCGGCATGCTTGTACGTACCACTGAGATCCCAATCATCTCTTGTTCGCCCAGGCGTCGTTACATAGCTGACGTATGACTGTGCTCTGTCCGTGGTTGTGCTCTGTCTTCGAGCCGTCCGTGACGCTATCTTTCAAAAAGATAATGCACGACCACTTGTGCTGTCCTGAACCTTTCTTGATACGAAGTTCGAGTGTTGCCCTGACTAGCACGTACTCTTAAATCTCTCACCCACTCAGTACATCTCGTCATGGTTTGCTGAGAGACTGGGACGCTACGATCTGCCAGCCACTACGATTGATGAATTCTGGCATACAGATGAAGCGGCATGGAATAAAGCACTCGTATTTGTCCTTTGCTTTCCTTCCTGGTTTAACAATGTTAATAGCCAGCAATGTAATTGCTTCTGATATGGGACTCTAGGGAAGAGAAAGTAGTCTCAAGTAGTATAGAAAGTGTCAAATCTAAAGAAAAATGTGAATGGTTGAGAACTGTTACACTTTTCTCTGCTAGAAACTGCTTTACGAGAAATGAATTGTGCGTTCGTGCTTTATCATAAAGAGAAACCAATTATTCAATTGAGCTCTCAACGCTGATTGTGAATTCTCCTCAAAAATCTGTTTTTACATCTTTACAAAATGTGGAATTCATATATTTCACTCAGGAACTTATTCTTTATGAATGATTCTTTTCAAACCAAAAACATTTTCAAATATGGTATTTGTTTGAAATTTCAGAAAACGAAATTTTGTGGCTGTTTGAATTGTAGGGTTTATATTTATTTTAACTAACATTTATTTTAAGCTATCTTTCCTGTCAAGCCTTTACTTTTCCCTAGAATTGCCAATGCTAGAGTATGTAAATTGTAGCAGAGCGCGCAGTATATTAAAATTTAGCAGAAGTAAGTTGAGTTTAAATAGGAGGAAATCGAGATTGTAGGTGTGCTTCTTGAATCGCGAACGTGAAGGTTGCTAGGTAGAAATTTAAGAACCGCGCGTTTCGGCCTATGTGCCTATCTCGGCAGTTTTTGCTGAATCGTTCAACTGCTCAATTAATAAGCTCGCTGAATCTCAGCGGTATTTTAGAACGCGGTTAGGTTAGGTTAAGATCTCAGAGCCTCGTGGATAGTGATCTCGCTATTTTATTCATCCAGTCATTTATTTTTCAGTTTTACATTTCTGTTTCAGTTAAAACTGCCGGAGTCGGCGTAGTTTGTGAGCGTCAAGTGGACGCAGCTGTTATTTTAAAAGTTGAATAAAAAGGGCTTTAAACCCTTCTTACGTGTCTGTGTAAATTCACACTTAGTAGCAGTCACTACCACAGTTGCTGACAAGTTGGGGCCACACAATACTACATTGGCGCCCGAACATCTTACGAACTCAGATGGCCGATAATTGGATGGAAGCCCCTGTACAACTCCAACAGCAAGAAATGGCGAACCAGTTAGAAGTGGATACCTGGTCCAAACTATGAGAGCATCTATCAAGCCAACCGTCAATTTTGACGGAAAAAATTCGGTGGCGATATTCTTAGAAGGCCTCGAAAATCATTTCCAGTTATATCCTGTGCCTGAAAGGCAAAAAGTTGCCATTGCCACGTCTGCACTAAGAGGACAGGCCTCACTATGGTGGAAGAGTATAGGAAAATTTTTATTAGGAGAATTCGGAGGCCAAGCATATACCTTTCAAAATTTTAAAGCATCACTATTAAAGGCCTTCCCCATAGTGAAAGACCGAGCAAAGCTAGAAGCCGAACTTTATAGTTTTTATCAACGTAATATGGAAGATTTGACGGACTTTATTCTGCGAAAAGTTAAGCTGACAGACATGCTGTATGGAAAGAAAACCCGACACGGAGGTAATTGAAATAATTTTACCAAGATTGCTATCTGCTGTCCAAGATTACTTGGAAATCCGAAATCCAAGCACCTTGCAAGAACTCTTCGATTTGGCGGTCAAGTTCCAAAACCGACGAATAGCGGAAAAATCTAGAGGGGCATCGTATTCTCAAAGTCCCCGAAGACAATTCTCAAATCAACAGACCGGTAACACAATTTCGTTCTTATGGGGGAAAGACGCTATCAAGCCAACTCATCGAAGCACGAAGGTTAAGGCGCAAAACGGAAATTTCGAAAAAAACCGTCCGCGTACCCAAAAGATTGAAGTTGAAAAGAAAGCTTTAAACGATTTGAGGGGTCTGTAAAAGCGAGGGTCCAAACCCCTGAAGTTTCGCAAAAAACCTTCAAGAAGATACCTAAACACGGTCGTGGTAAAGAATTCACAGTTACCAGTTATCCAATTCCTGGTTGGCGATGTACCGGTGGAAGCCCTCATTGATACAGGGGCAGAAAGTAATTTTATGACTGATAAATTTTTCAATAAGAATTTTAATAGGTTACGGTTGTTTAAAAATAAAAACACAGAAATTATAGCCGCCCAAGGAGAAACTTGCCAATGTATCGGGAAATTATCATTAAGAATACAGGTGACAGGTGAATGCAGGGCCCGGACACCCGGACGGCTTAATATGACAAATCGGGTGTCGTCCGGTACCCGCACCTATTTAGAACAACACAACCCTGGCGACTTCCTGAGAGGGCTGCATCGGAAATATATTAATGGAGAATATGTGGTATTGACGTGGCCAAACAAGGGCGTGTGCATATACATGCTTCAGACATTAAGAATACAGGTAAAAGACGAGAGTCTTAAAGTATTAATTTTTGTGGTGAAAAATTTACAGAATCCAGTCATTTTAGGCATGGAGTTCTTAAAGGCCGCGAAAGCCAAGCTCAATTTTCAGGATAACTCGGATCGTGCTGGAAATGGATTGGAGGGTGGTGGAGCCGGTGAAAGAACCTCAGGTAGACTTGAGCCATTTGAGTGTCCAGGAAAGCCAAGCCATCCAGCAAGTGGTGAGTACTTTTTCTAACTTGTTTTCAGAACGGCCTGGTAACTGTCAAATTGTATAACATGATATACAACTAACTGCCGATAAACCCTGTACGGCTAAACCCTACAGGTATGATCAACAGAAAGAACAAATTATTGAGGAACACATTAAAGTAATGCTGCAGAACCAGATAATAACGCTCATAAATAGTGAGTACGCGAGTCCAGTCGTACTATGTAGGAAAAAGAACGATTTCCCTCCTTCAGATAAAAGGGCTTGGAGGTTTGCTATCGATAACAGAAAACTCAATAGCATTACTAAATTACCGGTTCACCCTTTGCCGGTGATTGAGGAAATTATTAGAAAGATAAAGTCTACTAGATATATGACTACGTTGGACTTAACTTCTGGCTACTATCAAATAGCTATGAAACCAGAAGATATACATGAAACCGCGTTTATCACAAAATCGGGCACTTATGCATTTTTATGCATGCCCTTTGGGCTGTGTGGGGCCCCGTCAACATTCCAGAGAGCTAT